CTGTGATCCCTGACCTTAACAACACTGCATTCCATGCGGGCAGGAGTAACTACTACACCGATGTGCACGAGGGGCCATAGCTGTCATGACGGAGGGTGGGGGGGAGTACAAGGCCCAAAACTTATAATATGTCCCTGAGTGGAGCAAGCCTATTTATCTAACAAAACATGGCAATCAAGTGAGATAACACGCTTTCGTTAAACAAAAAGAAATCCTGCCCCTAATTATTATTTACCCCCTCCTGTTGCGTGACGCTAAAAGGTGGAAAGGGCTCTGCACTAGGATGCCCAATGTGTCAGAGTGGAGCCATGGGTGCACACACACAAGCCCATTGAATAACCCTTGATTAAGATTCCTTAGAAGCTTACAGAAGGAACGTGGGGGTAAATACTGATAGATACGCAAAAATGTATATTGTGGTGTGTGTTGAAATTCTGTTGTATCACTAAATGATAACTGCATTAACTGGCCATTATAATTAAAAATCAGCAGTGAAATGCAGCAAAAGCGGTTGTGAATAAATGAACAGTTTGCTACAGGGTTTGTTCCTAAAAGCTTTCTATTTACGTACAAAATTGCTGTATGTATCAAATGATTCCAGATACACCAACACTGCCTCAAACAACAGGCGGTACTGAGCCTGTAAGAGAGAAATGCAGTGGGCAATAGAAGAAAACTGTGGTTAAACATATAGGCATGTCCAAGCTCAATGCAAGACATTTTTATATGCTCATACTTGCAAAAGTGTTTGAGAACAGTTATAGATAACCCACCACAGTGAGGACAGCTCCAGGTTTCTGTACCCTGAGAGCCTTGACCACCTGGAACACATCCACCACTCCCTCTGTCTTACACCTCTCAATGGTGGTGACTATGGCACAGAACATCCCTGACCTACCCACTGTGTCACTGCAGAAGAAAGTGTTGCCTAAAGGTGTCAGCCTGTCATTCATATCACAGAAAGAACATTGAAAGCCTACAGGTGTCACCATGTCATTTAAACCACTCACATTGAATGCTCATTATACAAACATCTATAGTTAGCCTACATGAATGAATGCTCACACCTGCAATGAACTACAATCGGTTGATTCCCAGTCTTCATTTGAATATCCGTTATCTCACGTATCACACTAGTGATTGTGGGGAGGTTTGAGCAGCTGCCATCAGGACTCCAGTTTACCATGTGTAGTTGGACAACCTGATGAGCATCAGCAGTCTGTTGCACCACAAGGAATAGCAGTTGTGTTAAAGTATTAAGATGGTTCACGTCTACCTTAATGTTGTAAACAGTGATTTTACGGAGGAGGAATCCCTTAACTGCCTTTTCCTCTAGCAGATCAACTGTATATTCTCCAAACTGAGCTACTCCTGTCTTAGACCAGTATTGATAACACGTCTCCTACAACGACACCAACTTCTATATAGTGTTACGAAAACACACACAAATGTTCACCTCTCCGTCTTCTACCAAGTCACAGAGCATAACAATGACTCCACACTTCCTGTCATGGACCATCTTCCAGAAATCTCTGGCTGTGGACTCCATGGGACTCTGAGCTATGATGAATGCTCTCTGTTGCTTGTAACCCTGTACATTGAGATACAGGACTTAAGCTACTATAAACCTATTCCAACACCAGTGAAAAAACATGCTAGTCTTTACATTAACAAAAACAGCATGAATGTAATCCACTTTATCTCCCCTCAGTACAACACGCCACTGATCACCTGCAGAGAGATAATAGCATGATTGAATATCCTTCATTCTCTGTGTATCAGTACCAGGAAGATAGCGATCATTGCGATTCTTGGAAGGATTATTAAGAGCCACTTTCTGTGATACTTCCATTGGTGTAGGGGATAATTTCTCAAGAACCTGTAGTCAAAAGTTTATTTTGCATTGCATAATTGTTGAGTTTAATTCAACAAAGGCGTGCATAATGTGTTTGTAGCACGTACTCATGGATTTTACTCACACAGTCACAAAAACTGGAGGCTTATGTGTAGAAATAAACTGTCTAAGGAGCCAACGACAAGCAAATATTTTCGTAGCTACACCCATATAGCTACCCATAAAGGGTCAATAGCCACTGCCTGTGGGGTATTAGATAATCTGTTGAGAATAATGGTCACAATGAACCCCCACTGTGAAATACGACAGCGCAAGGCAAGAGCTTGTTTGATTCACCGTTCCTGAGGGAAAAACCTACAATGAGGCCCTACTTCAACGCAAATATACTCCTACAGTAATGCCTGTACACAGACAAGAAGTAAATAGCCGGTGACCACCACTGGCTCCTTACATTAAACTGGTTATCAAATTCATTTGGGTGAGCATTTGGTGAACTTTTGTACTTCCTTAGTTTCTGGATATAATCTCCAGCATCAATCTGTGTATCTCCACACGTAATAACTTCCAGAATGGCATCATGGATAAAGACATACTGGTCCTGCAAACGTGTTATACTGAAGACAGCAGTTAAAAAATCTGGTTTTCTTACCAGGCTCTGGACCATTTTCATTCTCTGTGTGCGGAGGTGGATGATGACACCAGCTATATCCACCACCTTCTCCCCTTGCAGCTGCTCAAGAACACAGTCAATAGTTATCAGAGTCCCTGTCCTCCCCAACACCAGCACTGTTTGAATAGGCAACAGAATCATTTAAGCTTATACCATGCAAATTGTTGTACCTGCAATGGACAGTAATTGGTCCCATTCCTCCCTTGTGATGTTTCTTCACTTTCTTGTGGAAGGCCAGAAGTGAAGTGGCATAGTCAGGCACTCCATGGTCAGGCCAGGCTGTGAAGTGGAACTGAGTCACATTCAGAGCTGGTTCTGAACTCTCTGCCAGCTGAGGAGAGACTCAATATAATGATGCTTCTACACACCAGCGTGTGCATTACCTGGACACTAAACTCCCGAGTGGTGTAGTCAGCCAGTATCTGTTGTCCTGTGATGGTGACATTGAAGGGACCAAAGGACAGGGTCCCAGTCTCTGGCCAGTACTTGTGACACTTGACAGAACTGGCCTCCACCAGATTGGCCAGCATCACAATGGTCTGAGACCTCTCCTGCCACACCATCCTCCAGAAGTCTACCACTGTCTTTGGCAGTGGCCCTGTGTAAACCACGATCCATACTGTAGGTCATTGTTAAAATGGTTCAGTTCTTAACCTTGAGTTGCTATATACTTTTGTCTTCTCTTGTATCCCTATGAAAATAAAAAGTACGTCATAAGATTAGTCTTCATTCTTTTACTCAAAAAGTACTAGCTTATTGCAGGGAAACGTGACAGCTTACATCAATAAAGCTGGCATTGATGAAATCTCTCTGGCAGTCCGAATGCCCATCAATGGATCTAAGAATGACTCTATTGTGATCATCTGGTAAAAGGCATTAGCAATTGCAGAAGAGAGTTATTATCATAGTCCAAAGAACACTTACAAACGGTGATGTTATTGAATCTGTTGAGTTTCTTTATACCATGACTTGTTCCAACTGTTTTAGGAAAGTCTGTGTCATATTCTTGCATTAACTGAAAAGGTTTAGTCCAGAAAACACATGATGTTTCACTAATATAATATTCACAGGTTTCATACTGCAAATTGGTCTTTAAATTTCTTTTGTCGGTTGGAGTGACATCGAGCAACGTAGTCAGCGAAGCCATCAGTAGACTGAGGTGGAAATGGTACATCTCCTTGGCCCTGTTATTGCCATGATTCAAGGAATTAGTCACTATAGAACATCTTAAAATCTCACCTCTGAATCCATCTGAACTTCCTCCCATTCATGTTTCCCCTCAGAAAACTGCATCACTCTTGTATCTGTAGGGAACTAGAGTGAACGTATTCGAGACTATGCCCTAGCTGGAACACTAAACTGGTAGCTGTTTCTTTGACCTCGGGTCCATACATCATCTCAATTTCTTTTCTCTTCTGTGTTTGCTTTTTCCTGACAGAATAACAATGATGATTAGTGTAAAGCACTGAAAGAAGCACTCACTTGCAGATACACACGAAGATGATGAGGATGCACACAAGAACAACAACTGTCACACTCGATGCAATTGCATAATAGAGTAATATAAGGGGTTGATAGGTGTACCTAATATAAAAGATATGGCAAAGGTTATGGATTCATGTGGATGTCATGTCATACTCGACACACTCAGTGTAGCCACAGTAAGAGAGGTAGCATTTCCAGGTCCCACTCTGGTGTAGGCTCTCACAGAGAAGATGAATTCAGTGGCCTCCTCAAGGTTGCTCTCTGTGGTGAAATTAGTGGCCAGAGCAGAGGAGTTCACTCTAGTCTCAGGCTCTGAGGAAGCTGTTTGTCTGTAGGAAACCTCATATGCTATGATTATTCCATTAGGCATCAGTGGTGGCTCCCATGTCAGGGTTACTTGAGACAGAGAGGGAGATGCCGTGACTGCACCTACTGGACCAGGAACTAAAACAGTATTATAAGAAAGGTACTGATAATAGTATGTTAGACATCATTTACCATCTTCCAAAGTTCTATTAGTGGTGGGGTAACTGTATGGTCCCACGTTTCCCATCTCATTCACTACAGCTACTGTAATGGAGTAGTTGGTGTATGGAGTGAGTCCAGTCAGCATTGCCTCAGTTGATGTACAATTAATTCTCCAGTTTGGTTTATAACTTCAGAGGCAGCACTGAACACTGCAGTGTACTTCACTGAGAATTTAACAGGCAGATGACTGACTGGACTGCAGGCTCTCAGGTGGTCCCATTGGACTGAGATGACTGTTGAACTAACTGCTTCAGCTGTGACATTTACTGATAGGTCTGATTCACCTGAATCAAAAAACAAATACATAAAAAGTATTAGCAATAAGCATGAATTCACCTAATTCGAGTGCAAATGTTTCTGATATTCCAGAGATGTGCTCTGAAGCAGCTTCAACTGAAAATGTGTAGTTAGAACACCAAGTTAGGTTTCTGATATTGTGACTAGTGGAGGTTGGATCAGGTACACTCCTGGCATTGTTAACAACTCCGTCACTATAGTGTACTACATATCCAGTCACTGTGGCTGCTCCTGATGGCTGACTCCACTCCACTATCACTGATGTAGCTGATGTCTGTACTACTAACAGATTGGACTCCAGC